TCTGACAGCTTATCGTTGTTCCCTGTGAGGGTGCTGGGACAATTTACTCAGGGTCGCTGTACAGTAGCAACTGCGGGTCCCTGTACCTGTTTAGGACTTAAAGTTCCGGTGCGGGGCCATCAGGCTCGGGCTGGGGCCCTCGAGCAAGCATCGGGCTGAGACAAGCAAGCGCCTGTGAGAGCCCTTATTAGCCCGCATTAGTGTTTGCAGTTTGCACACCTTGGGATTTTCAACGTCTGCAATTGCACATGCCCTGCCTCCCCCCCCCCCCCTCGCCGGAATCCGCAGCCCCATAATCCAAAGTGTTTTTAAAAATATAATTATTCTGTATAATAAAATATCAACATCAGCGCAAAAGATCTACACACAAAAGCTCTACAGTCTTGCTTTTTGTAGAACACTAAACACTTGGCATGTTTAACGTTACGGTCCGTTTGAAAACTCGGCCCGTATTAATGCTGCCCGGCCCGTATCAATAATGACCGTATAAGGCCGGCCCGTATAAATTCGGGCCGGTCAGTAGGTAATCGGCCGGTAGGGCAGTTCTAATACCGACCGGGCGGTATTAGAACCCACTGTTTTCCTCACGGCCATATCAAAACTCGGGCCATATCAAAACTAAGCAAATAGTCACTATTCGATGTACCTACCCATTAGCAACGCCGGCCTGCAGTGGACTTATTTTTTAATGCTGTACAGTGGAATCTGCTTAATAAATCCTCGAATAATAAATCCAGCCGCTTATTGTGGCCGCTTGAGCCATAGGCGGCGGAATGGGGAGGGCACCGGGGCACCGTGTCCCCTTTTGATTTTGGCATTTTAACATCAGCCCTATTGGGCGATGCATGGAAAGAATGGGACCAAAAGTCGGCAGTGCCCCCCCCCCCCTTAATTGAAGGTGTTCCGCCGCTACTGGCTTGAGCTGTTCCCGGATTTTCTCCATAGATATCCATAGTTTATCAATTCGCTTAATAAAGTCATTTTGGAGTTTCGAAGTCTGCAGTGACGTCTCCTGACTCGAAATGTGGCATGGCATCCAACCCGCTCCTTAACTAAGGTCCGCTCCTTAACACTTAACTAAGGTCTGGTCGAACAAAGTCAAATAGCCCTCTAAAAAAAGATGTGGTCCTTTAACCGTATAACTTATTTCCTAGAAGTTTGAAATTTTGTGTAGTGCAAGTGCAGGTCTGCGGGATCGGAGCCGGAGCTTGACAGCTCGTCAGCTTGACTTGACAGCTCTGGCCAGAGTCGGAGCTGGAGTCACCGGGCGAAGTCGTTTGTACTTCGACTCCGAAGTCAGAGTCGACATTCTCTGGCTTGAAGTCATGCTCATTGCTCTTAACTGGTTAGTCGAAATTTATGAAGCCGTTTTAGCCGATCGTGGGCAGGTGGAATAAGAGCTGTAGGTTCTGTTGACCGTTGTGACTGGTGGACGGTGGTTGTATCAGTAAAGAGGTCAGACCAATATAGGCCCACACTGAGTATTCAAACCTCCTGGACCCTCTCATACCACACACCGTTCCGTCATTTCTATCCTCAGGACAGTCAAATCCCTCTCATCTACGCCTCAACTCCTTGTTCCGGGCTGGACGGGCAACTTTATCCCATGCGGGAACCCCCGATAAGAGCACGACCGTAACCGGGTGCGGTGACTGGTGTGTGCTTGGGGTGCTGGTCGGCCTGCCCTCTGGACGGGCTCAGCCTCGTCGACTCATCAGGGTGCTCGCCCAGACCAAATGTCCCCCCTCGCCCTCCCCCTAATTCCCATCTCCTTCCGGCTCTGAAATGGTCTCGTCAGACCGAAAAGTCCTAACCCAATAAAAAAAATCCCAGACCGTGGCGAGGTCCTCTGACCTCTCACACCAGCATCAGGTACTCTAAGGTCATGGTGAACTGGTGAGCCCCTTCGGCTGTCGTTTTTTGTTTGTTTGTTTGTTTGTTTGTTTTGTTGGGTTAGGCCCTTTCGGTCGACAAGACCATTGCAGAGCCGGAAGGATGATAGGAATTAGGGGGAGACATTGGTCTGGGCAGGCACCCTAGTGAGTCGCCGGGGCTGAGCCCGTCCAGAGGACAGGCCATCCAGCCCCAAGGCACTCAATGCACCCGGCTACGGGGTGCGCTCCCTCGAGAGCAGCGGTGCCGCTCCAAGGGAGCAGCCCGCATGAGATAAAGTTGCCTGTCCAGCCCGGAGGGGGGTTGCGGAGTGGAGGAGAAGGACTTCAGTATCCTGAGGATAGAAGCACGGAACGGAGGGCTGTCGTTTTGCCTAGCACGGGAGGATGGCCGTTTAGAAGTGGGAGTCTTGCTTGAGTATTGTGAATATTCGAATGTGTGGCTTATGCAGCTGTCACCCCACCCAGAGGACCGAACTTCAGCCTTTGGTGGGTGTACGGTCCACAGCAGAAGTAATGTGGGGTTTCAGTCATGGGTATGTTCTGCTTATGAAGCTTAGGAACGATTAGCCAGACTACAATGAAACTTTGAATGTAGCTTAGGTATATGTATCGTCACCCTTGCAGCTGCAACTTTAGCTATTGACATCTTCTTTTCGATCACTCCGCATTTAACAATCGTCAGTCAAAGCCAACCGTTGAGATTGATAAAACCCTACATTACTTTAGCGGTGCAGGCTGTACCTGAGCCGCTGAAGTGGGTGAGTTCTCAGTTGTACCGTCGAACTGACCAGCATCAGTAGGTATTCTTTTAAAAATGGTTTATTTCTGTTTACATGACTCCATATTGAATGACCGTTGCAAATAGTCACTTTTGAAATCCTTTATGGCCGATTTTTTTGAGGGGACGTGCCCCCGGATTCATCGACTGCCGGCGGGGGGGGCGTCCCCCGTCCCCCCGCTTTCGACGCCCATGCTATCTATAAACACTCTCAAACATCGGTTTATTGGAAAACATGACACACCCGAATATTGCACCCGTTACCCCTTTGTGTGACCCTGAGGTTATCTCAGGTCATGAAGGGTCACCAGCAGTTTTTTTTTTAACTATTTCTTTTGAATTGATATAAGAGACGACAGATCGTGCTAGAGCGGTAAAACATGTCAGATGTGTTCAACTCGGCGATACGGATCAACTGATATGCAGCATGACCCTTTCCGGTCAGGCCATGCCCTGACCCGAGTCCCGAGGTCAAATTTTCCAAATGACCTTAGAAGTCCGAATTTCATTCGACGCGACTCGACGAGGGGAACACGTTGCTGGTAAAAGTAATGTCGTGGCTCCCTTCAGTCAAAATCTGTTACCTAAAACTTTTTTTCGTATAAACCAGGGATGCGGAGCCGTGGAAGTTCCAGACGGTCCGGCTCCGGCTCCGGCTCCGAGTAAAATGGTCCGGCTCCGGCGGCTCCGGCTCCTTCTCAGTAGGTGCATCCCCTATGCGATTAATTAAATACCTACGGGTGGAAGAGAAAGGGCGATTGAAATTGGATTGGTACACGTTGCCTCTGTATTTGCATAACAAGGCTAATTTGAATAGTGAATACCACATGGCCTTGTATGTACTGTCAAACCGAACTAGGTCAATAATTTTTTCTTCTTAAAAAAAGAGCCGGAGTCACCCCCTTTTTTGACGGCTCCGGCACCGGTTCCGGCTCCGGGATATATTGTTTTACGGCTCCGGCTCCGGCTCTGGGCAAAATATGCCGGCTCCGGCTGCTCCGGCTCCGGCTCCGCACCCCTGGTATAAACGGCTATTTTTATATTTTTTGCCCTCTGGAACATGGAATAAATCACATAGGACAGGAAAAAGGTTAACTGTGAAGGAACGGGAGGAGCTGACGATGATAAGCGCGATCTGACGGTGAGATGAAGATCCTTGCGGAGGCTTGGTTACGGGGATAGTGGACACTTCACGACTTATTAGGCACTTCTGGTGTGAAAACAAAGGGCAATTAATAAACCCACTTTCGGTATCGGTCTCCAATCTCCATTATCGACACTTCAGCCTACCTACATACGTGCCGCGCTTGGATACGCTGCAATGCGTCTTCATGTCATATGTCAGGTTTGTAGTGGTATCGCAGCGATGTCGCTACCAGCAGCTACGCACCTCCGTCTTGAGGATGTAAGGTCATTATAGGGATGCCACTGTATAGAGACTCAGTGATGTCATACAATTCCGTCACTTATGAACCGTACGTGCCACCACCTATCGGACAGCCATTGAACTAATAGTTTACAGCTTGTACAACAGATGTCACTATTTTGGATGATACGGTCTTGGATGCTGCGGTGCCAAAATGTTTTTTGGATGATACGGTTTTGGATGCTGCACCCTTGGATGTTTCACTCTTGGATGCTGCACTTCCTCGTCCTTGGTTGCTGCCAATTTGGATGATACGATTTTGGATGCTGTGGTCCTGGATGTTGCAGTTTTGGATGTTTCGCTCTTGGATGCTCTGAATCATCCCTAAGGGGTCGGTTTTAGATGTTATTTGGACGTTTTGATCGCTGGATGCTAAGGGTTTGGATGTTGCGTCCCTTGGATGCTGCGCTCTTGGATGCTTCAATACTCACCCGTCAGCTTACCTTACATTTTGCGTGCGTTCGGCATCCGGAAAATGAGGGAAAATTATCCGGGATCACCAGTAATAATTTGGTATTGCAGTGACTATCGAAGCAAAGCAATAAGTCATATTGCTTTTGCTTCAGTAATGGCTATTTTACTCGTTTTCATCTCCGTTGTACACGGTGTTAGCCTAAAACACCGAATGATCCCGGTGATCCCGGAAAACTATCCCTGATTTTCCGGATGTCGAACGCACGCAAAATATATTAGCAATTTATGAAGACATTAACTGCGCAGTAGTTTCATTGAAGGAAGCTAACGTTTCAGCACTGAACTCTATAATGCGTTTCAGAAAACATATCAATGACATCATAGATCACACCACAATGAAACAAGTACTCTGAACAATATGAAAGAAAAAAATGACCTTTAGTGCTTTAAGTACATTTTTTTATGTAATTTTGATTATTTGAGTGACTCTTACAACTTTGTTTCATTTACTTTTGGGATAATTCTGACCTAACCTCGTAAAAGGAATATCTTTTCGATGACGTCATCCAACAAGAAAAAGGTGACCAAAGTGACTACTAGGGAAGTCTACGGGGATCTCCCCTGATTTCCCCGCATATAACATATTATTGTGGAGCGTTTGGAGACTGGCAGTGCACTGAGTAGATGGTACTTTTATCGTGCTTTTATCAAGCCTTGGATGGTACAGAGTCAAGAGTGTGGAGTCAGTGTGAGTGTGAGTGGGTCGTCAGTCGCGGCGATGTTTACGAACTTCTTATGCGGCCTTGTTGTGCACTTTGTTTTGACATCAGCTTGAGCTGAGGCGTATAAAATCGTTTGATTGAGAAAACTCCTGGTTCAAGATGACATCCTCTAGCCTGGGAGTTGAAGATGTCTTCAGATTTGCAGATGTTACTTCTGAAGAGGGTGGATGGCTTGTTGTCAACACTCTCACGCTTGATCCTGATTCTCCATCTGATGTATCAGCAGATGCAGTGTCATATCCATCAGCCATTGATTCCAATTATGAAAGATATTTGACAGAAGATGATCTACAGGACATAGAGGGTGACCTGTATCCAGAAGAGGTTGTCCGTATGTTGTTTCTGGCTGTTGATGACACCCCAGCTCTAGTACTACAAAAATGTGTGGTGAAAATGACCCACAGCCAAAGGAGTCAAAGCCAGACCAAAAGTGTTGACTCTTTCTTTGATTGGGCTCGTGCTGTCTCAGACTCTAAGCACAGCTGGAAAGCACTTTTTCTTGAAAGTTTGGCAGTAATTGGCCGGCATGACATCCTAGTGGACCTAGGATGTGATGATGCAGAGATCAGAAGACTGGAAAAACCTGTTCATCTTTCTTCATTGAAGGTAATACGGGCACCTATCAATTGGGTAAAGTAGACTTCTGGAATCAAAATATGGAGGCATCAATTATTTGATTCTGGCAAGAGGAGCCATGAGCACATATGGGCATGGAATCAATTTTTTCCCATTTTGTTACACTTTACTTCAAATGTATTGTTACGGTTGATAAAAGGACCATGACAGAGAGGTTTTTGTTAAAATAGAAAAATGTATCTAATAGGTTTGCAAAAAGTGTTTCCTCCAAAATAGGAAATAGTCACTTTGGTCTTGTGAATGGCAAAAAGACAGAGCCTGAGCCACTCTCCATCATGTAAAAGCTGTTTTGAGAAAATCACCCTATGTTATTTTGTAGCATGAATCACATTCCTACATATCAAGTAGTATTTGTGTGAAATGTTAAACAAGGGAGGCTATAGGCATCTGTTGTGGTGCTGAAAATGCCACTAAATGAGATTGATAGCAAAATAGATGTTGTATTCTTGCAAGCCATTGCTGCATATCTGTTTATGTCATTACATGTGAAAAAAATGATTAGCCAGCTGAGGTGCAATCAATATTTTGATTATCTGTTCAAAGCGAATCAACTTATTGATTGCTTTCACGTTACCTGTAGAATTCAGCTTGTCATAATAAGAGCAATATTATTGTGGTCAGTGCCTAGTCCAACACTTCTGTTTAAGATCAGGCATGCTGCTTCTCGAAACACTTGCTTATTTGTATATGGCTGGTGATTTAGAAATGGTCTGGTCTGCTGTTATGCCCAAATATGATCATAAGGAATCAATTTTTTGATGCCTCCATTTTTTATTCCAGAAGCCTAGTCTGCCCAACTACTATTTCTTTGTGCTTAGTGGCTAAATCAGGTTTCCACGGGCACTTGTGATCCAGCTCAGTAAAAGTGGTACCTAGCCAATCCATAGGTATGCTTAGATGCTGTATGAAAATGAAAACAAGGAATTAAGTGACTATTAAAGGGCAGGTACCTAATCTGCTTTAATTTATGGCTTGTCACGAGTTTAACCCTCGCCCGTATAGGGGGGGGGGGGGTGGAACGGACCACCCCCTCGGTTTTTCGCGAATAACTCTCGTAAAAGGCTGCCGGTCGCGACGCAACTTTCAGTACCCTCGCGTTAATCAATTTTACACCTACCCTGAAAATTTCATAACCCTGACCCAATGACCTTTGACCCTTGACATGCCTACCTACTTTTCGAGACCATGTTTGTCCGGATTCGCGATTCGACGTATGCCGGCTCGCATTAGCCATCCGTTGGCAGTCTTTTCGTGGTTTCAAGCGTTCAAGCATGTGATTGATGCTGGTCCCATGCACTAGGGTGGGTGTCAATGTCACCCGAAGGTCATGTCAGGTCATTGACCTTGGATGACCTCGGTTTACTTTTTCGAGTTTTACATGTTTCTATGCTAGTTTTTTTTTTTAGCTGTGTTTGAATTCCATTTAAACATTTACGAAGTAGTTTTAGTGCCTTCGTAACATGTTACGGAGCTGTCAAGGGCGGTTGACACGTACTTCGAATACCCGGCAGGACCCCTACTAATTGACCTGACCTGACCCGACCTGGCCTAAATGCATGAAGACATAACCTTGCCGTTTCGCCTCTGATCGAGCTAGAGCTTCACGAAAAAACGAGCGTGTTGCCCGTGACGAGAGGAAGCCGATGATACCCAATTTTAAGGTCCTAGGTCTTTGGTTGACCTTCCAGGTCAGGCCAATGACCCAAAAGTCGGGAAAATCGGGACCTGTTAGAACGTCGTTAAGTTTGGCTGTTATGTTTTTTTTTTTCGGGATGCTGATAGCTGATCACGAATATCATGTTAGTTTTGATCACAGATGATGTCTTCATGCATTTAACATGTTACGAAGGCACCAAAACTACTTCGTAAATGTTCATATGGTTGCTAAATTCGAATTCAGCTCCAAAAATTGGCCTTGAAACTTGAAAACTGGCCTTGAAACATGTAAAACACGAAAAGTGAACCGAGGTCATCAAAGGTCAATGGCCTGACCTGACCTTCAGGGGACCTTGACACCTACCCTAATGCATGGGAGCAACATCATATCACATGTTTGAACGCTTGAAACCACGAAAAGACTGCAAACGCGCGACTAATGCGAGCCGAAATAGGTACGTCGAATCGCGATTCTGGCCAAACATGGTCTCGAAAAATAGGTCACAGGTCAAAGGTCATTTGGGTCAGGGTCATGAAATTTTCAGGGTAAGTGTAAAATTGATCAACTCGCGGGTACTGAAAGTTTCGTCGCGATCGGCCGCTTTTGCGCGAGTTATTCGCGAAAAACCGAGGGGTGGGCGTTCGACCCCCCCCCCCCCCCCGATCCGGGCGAGAGTTAAAATAGGGTATCATCGGCTTCGTCTCGTCACGGGCAACACGCTCGTTTTTTATGCGAAGCTCTAGCTCGATCAGGGATGACCGTGGATCAGGGGCCAAATGGCAAGGGGTGGGGTCCGTCCAACGTCCCCCCCCCCCATACGTTCGCGGCTGGCAAAACACCAATACGGGCGAGAGTTAAGAATATGATTAAAATATGGTAGCATGTGTTCAGTGTTTCTGATATACCTACAGTTGACATTTGAAAGTAGTCTATGAAGTAACCCAAATAAATAATATCCTTACGAAATGTATCATGGTGGGTAGGCATGGTATGGAAGCATAGAGGCTTGGTAGGACTTATCACAGAATGTCCCCAGCCATAAAGTAGTTTGTCCAAAATTGCATGTCATATTTTTAGCATAAATTCTTGTTTTGAATCACATGTCGAATGGAAACCATTGAATTATCAATTTGAAATTTAATCAGATAGGCGGTTATCTGTTTGACTCTTTGGTCCTAAATGCCTTTCTTTGAAAGTTTGTTTAGCTGGAGCTGACTTTGACCCTGCACCTTCTATTCAACTCATTTGTAAGCCATGATAGTTCATGAATTAAGTTCTGAATAAATGTGTCCTCTTCTGTTCTGCTCAACAAGCCATTTAAGTTGACCTGCTGTATTATAATCTTACCTTGACTTATCTTGGTGGACAGATTTCAATCAAGCTGTTGTGTGCCAGGCGCCCAGTCAATTCAATCAAGCTGTTTTGCTGTATCTGAGCGCTAACTTGTTAGACACTGCAGCAGCCTGCTCCTTAACACAACTCTGTCATGCTGCTTTGCAGGTTTCGCTGAACCAGGTCTGCTGCAGCTTGAAACAAGGTGAGACAGCTGCTCTCATCAGCTATGTGTCAAAGCAGCATCTGCAGAACCGTCCGCCGACCCAGTTCCCTGAGGGAGTCATCATCAAGCAGCTGCTTGAGCTGAACATCCTCCAGTGGATGCAGGAGGGCATCATGGACCTCATGAACCTGACTGTGCTGGTCGAGGCATTAGAGCACATCGGCCGACCCGACTTGAAAAATGTCCTGATGGGACGGCCAGTGTCTCAAGGCTCGTCCTACACATCACACGTCTCCGGCCCTCCCTCTGGTGGTCATACGAAGGTTGTGTCCCTGCCGTCCCTGGCTGGGGTCCCCACGCCGCATGTGTACCCCAACGACCGAGGGATCTGTGTCATCTTCAACTTGGAGCAGTTCAGGTGCGTTCAAAACCCTTCCTGTGTGCTCCAAACCCTTCCGAACCACGGACTGCGACTCGGGTCCAGTTTGGACGCAGGAAACCTCTCGAGACTCTTCGGGAAGTTCTCGTGTCGCACAAAAGTGTTCACCAACATGAAAGGTCATGAAATACAGACATGTCTCAAGAACCTGGCGAATGCGAAAGACCTTGCGCATTTCGACTTCGTCGTGGTGTGCTTCCTGTCGCACGGCGGCACCAGCGACGGTCGTCAGTTCATCTACAGCTCCGACTGCCAGCTGATGTTCATCGATGATCTGATCAGTCCGTTCGAGGGCGACTCTTGTCAGAGTCTGCGCGGCAAGATGAAGATGGTCATCTCGCAGTCGTGCCAGGGCGAGGGTCAGCTGACGCACCTGCAGGCTGACGGGCCCCCGGTGTCGCCCACGCCCTCGTCCAGCGCGCGCACCGCCACCGCCCAGTCGGACTTCCTGTTCTGTCAGGCGACCACTCCCGGCTTCAAGGCGTACCGAGACCCGCGCCGCGGCTCGTTCTACATCATGCGCCTGTGCGAGGTGCTGGAGAGCCGAGGCCACTTGGAGGAGGTCTCGCTCTGCATCAAGGACGTGCACAAGCTGCTGATCGAGCAGCCGATTCTGCTGGGCGAGGAGCGCGTCCCGTGCGCCATCCAGCCCCAGATGATCGACCGCACACAGGGCAGGTTCCGCTTCAAGCGCGCTGGGGACGTGCAGCCTCAGTCGGTCTAGGCGCCGGCGGCGCGACTCATCGGATCGGCCGCTCGCTCCGGAGATCGGTGTTTGGCAGTGGCGGCCCGGCCAACGGACTGAAACAGTGAAACTGAAACACTGAAACAGACTGCTTGGATGTTCGCGAACAGAGCGGCCGAACTGGCTCGACTCGGGTGGTTTGCGGACGTGCTTTGGTGGCGTTAAGTGATACGGCTTGCCGAGAACGGCCCGCTTCTGATCCATAGTGTGTTATACCTGTCGTGTGATTGAGGCACAAACTGCCACCTGTACCTGTCATCTATTTTTGTAAACTTTGACCGAATGTTCATGTTAACGGTCTTTTCTATCGCTCTTGGGGTCAATTTCGAATTACGGAGTTTGCCTAAATGCTTGGGTACCTACACAAATACTTCGGGCGCATTATCATTCAGCCGCGTGCCATAATGCTAGTTAGTGGCCTGATTCAAGTGCGATTTAGAGTCGTCCGGTACTGCTGGGCCTTATGGCGACAAATGGTTTATGACATTGCCGTCTTGCGAGGAGTGATTGTGTACGGGCGAAATGCTTTCCACAGAATATGATTGCTCACGACGGGTGTTGCTTCTGCACGAACATGTTTATCCCGATATTTGAAGTATGTTTTTGAATGATTTTATGAGCTTAGAGAGCTATTTTGTGCTTGGAATCAACAAGTTAATGAATAAAATGCAAATGAAAAAAGCTAGTTTATGTGTTCACCGAACAAACGCGACCGAAGTTTGTAATACAAGTATGTATTAACGAACGATCGTGACATACCACAACAATCACTTCACCGCGACCCTAGTCGCCATCACAGCGCCGTCGTCAGCTTCATCGGAGAAAACTGCACCCGTAAATAATCGAGAACAGGGCGTCCGCGGCCCCGCTGCTCACCAGCAGGCGTACAAGGCTCCGCCGCGGCGTCCGTATCACCCAGCAACGACCGTGCGCGTCCAACGGCTCAGCTGCGCTCAGTCACATCTAAAAACGCGACAACCTAAAAACGTCACTACTGTGTCGGCGCAACTAAAAACACAAACAACCAATCACAATCGCTCCCCAAGCGGTGCGGCTCGGGCGGCGGTATTGCTCACGAGCCAAGCGTATAGGCAGTGCGGACTAGTGGACGCGCATCGGGGGCGCCCCGCGCCGGTCCGCCATCACACGGGAGGGGCGCCGTTCGGGTAGATCAGCATCGTCTCCAGGCTGGAGGCGAAGTTGTTGGCGGCGGCGTCGCATTCGGAGCCGGGCTCGCAGGCCGGGTAGAGCGCCAGAGCCGCCAGCGCCAGAAGCAGCAGCGCCTGGAAGGGCAGCGAGGCGCGCAGGCCGCGCCGCAGCGACAGCAGCAGCCGGCCCAGGGCGCTCGGACGGCCGCCCACCGCCTGCAGAAGGGACGGGGACGGGCGGTCAGAGCCGAGACACGCACAGTCGCCGAGAACGGCCGAACTCGTCAGCTTCTTATTTTCATCCGTAAATCTTTTACCCGTTTGAAGGTCGGTCGAACCAAGAGCTACATGCCGGCTTGTTTCGATTATTTTGTTAGGCAATGAAACTAATGGTGTTTCCTACGAAAACCCGTAGGCTTTTCAATGTAACAACTCAGTACACCGGTAAGTCAACTCACACGCGATAGGTTATCTGAAGTTGAAGTGCTTCCGGCCCTTGGCTGGAAGTCATACGGGGGAGATGGGTTATCTCGATCTCGCGACTGAAATAGTCTGAGATAGCTCCTGGGTCTGACTTTGTGGAGTGGTAAGCCCGGGGCCGTTAGTTCAAAAGCAGATAGAATACGTCCTGCTGAATAAATACTCGAGTAGTTATTTAGCTACCTCTGCTCGTACACAGTCCCCACCTGGTCATCAGTCGTATCAGCGGTGTCACCGCCGGCGGCGGCGGGGGCCGGGGCGGGTCGGCGCCGCTGCAGCTCCACCAGCCGGCTACTGACGGCGTCCCAGCGGTTCTGCAGCGCGGCCAGCCGGGCCTTCAGCTGGGCGCCGTCCGAGCGACCGGCCGCCGCCGCCAGCCGCCCGCCCGTCAGCGACACGCTGACCATCAGGTCCGTGTGCGACTCCAGCTCCACCCCCAGCCTCTGAAGAAGTTAGACAGGGGACGTCACACACCACCCGTGCAACAGCCCGGCACATCGGGCGCGATGGCGGTCACGGAAGCAGTAAAGAATCATAAAATAGTTGAACAGTAAACCATTCGCGACTGACACGCCCGGCGGCGATCGAGCGCACACGCCAGCGGTCGATCGAACGCAGCACATCCAGTGTCGGCGCCGCAGTCCGACTGACCGACTGCGCAGTCCGCGCCCGACTCTCACCCTGAACCGGCGGCTCTGCGTGTCGTCCCAGAGGTCGGGCCGCTCCACCGACGGCAGGCCGTCCAGCTTGTGTTCGGTGTGCTGCAGCCACTGTTCCAGCCGCCAGGCGGCCAGCTCCCACTGCAGCCGCCGCTCCCCGGGGCCGTGGAGCCGGCCGGCGGCGCGCTGCTGCAGCTCAGAGAGCTGCCGGCACAGCTCTGCGGCGCGCGACCGCCAGTCACCGTCACCCTCTCCCTCTCGGCCCAGCAGCACACCCAGCAGGTCGGCGGCGCCGGCGCACGCTCCCAGCGTCTGGGCCAGCTGCGCGGGCGCCGGGTCGGCCGCGGCCAGCAGCTCTGTCAGCGCCGCACGGCCAGCCTCTGCCTCCCGGAGCGCGGCAGCCACCTGACCGGTGTCCGTCGGACTGGCGGAGCGGGCCGAGCCGGCGTCCGACGGGCTCTCTGGACGGGCAGAACCGGCGTCCGACGCGTCCTCAGCGTCAGAAGGACCGGCCGGCAGCCGCTCCCCGGAGGTCGGCTGCTGAGAGTCGTCAGGTACCGGAGTGGAGGAGACGTCATCAGTGACCTGTCGGGAAGGGAGCGACTGAATCAGACGGCTGGCTCCAGACATCAACTGTGCTAAAATGTACATCATAGTACGAATTAGGCGCTTAGCTTACTCACGATATATTCTGTGACAAAGACGACAAAACTGCACATAAAACCAGTAACAGGCCACACAACCTAACAAGCCAGCACGCGGAGTTTAGGCTGGACAATCGCCCATACCAGCTGAGGCGTTGGCCTGGTTGACTCGCCTGTTCATCAGTAGGTGTCCAGAGCCGCTCTAAGTGCTGCAGGGCGGCCGGGATCTGCAGGCAGGCGGCCGGTGGCGACAGATCGTACAGCTCCGCCTCGCGCGGACACCGGTCGGCCAGCAGTCGCTCAGTGGACTCAGTCACCTGGGTCAGCTGTGCAGACAGTCCGGCCGACTCGCCAACCAGCTCCTGGCGGCAACGGGCAGCGGCGTATTATTCAGCCGGTTGTCGGCGGGATATCAGCGTGATGTCAGCGGGTTATCAGAGGAATCGGAGTGGTGACTACAGCCGTGCCTCCCTCAAGATAAGCAATATCGACTTTAGAAAATATTGTGAAAATGTGTCATCAAGGAAGTCGCAAGGACTTTAGCTGATAAATTAACAAGACCATATGTAGACCACATGCCACAAAAAGTCAGTCAATATAAGCTCGGTGCGGCAGAACATGTGGATGTGCCATGGCTGTGCCGGGGCCCCGCTGTACCACCGGTCTGCTGACCCCGTCTGCCCACCTTTAGCGCGGTCCGTCCGTCGGGCAGCTGCTGCAGCTGCTCGGTCCGCCGCAGCAGCCGCTCGGCTCTGCGCTCCAGCCGGCGCCAGCTGTCCTCCTGGAGGTCATGTACCTCGGCCAGTCGCTGCGCCGCCGCGCGGGCCGCCTCTGCCTGGCGGCGCGCCGCCTCCCATCGACCAAGCAAGGCCGCCAGTCGGCCGGCCAGCGCGCCGCCCGGCCTCAGGTGACCGGCCAGCAGAGCGACGTCGAGCCGCGCGCGCAGCCGGCCGGCCGGCTCGGCCAGCGGCTCCAGGCGAGCAGCGGCCGCGCACACTTGGTCCCGCTCGTCGGGCAGCCGGGGCCGGGGTATGGGCCGGCTGGGCGGCGGCCAGACAGCCGCCAGATGCTCGGCCTCGTCCAGCTGCGTCTGCAGCTGGTCGGCGTCCTCCGCCAGCTGCTGCACGGCCGACCAGCTGGCGGCCAGCTGCGCCGGGCGGGCGGCCGACCGCTCGCAGATGCGGCCCCATCTGTGACGCGCGGGACACGGGCGCTGATTCATACCGCAGTCGGCTGGGTCACCGTAAATGTCGGGAACAGCCCGATGACGACGATAACACACACGGTGGAGCAAGGGTATTCCCCGAGCATCAGCGGACATTTCGCAACCGATTAGCCCGCGCCCTGCTGGAGGGAGGTGTTTGAACACCCCCTCCGGTTTTTCACGAACACCTCAAAACATACATCAATTCTACACATGCTGTGAAAACTTCAGACCAAAGTCATCCAAGGTCAGGTCAGTCCAGGTCACTTCAAGTGACCTCACCTCATAAAATGTTTCAATGTATGCCGTAGCTACACCGAGTGACCGATCGATTTCAAACTTTCAGCGATTGATAAGAGCAACAGTATATACAAAATGCATATCTCGAAATTCTCATATCGGTGACCTAAGTTCAGGTCAATTTTCCGACCTCCCCATTATAGGTAATTCAATGGGAGAAAATTCAAAACCGCCTCTTTTGGACGTAAGTCATTCTAAACACAGTCAAACAATGAATTACAAGTAACTTTGACACACTGAACATAAAAATGGCACCCGTGACCCCTCTTTATGTCCCTGAGGTCATCTCAAGTCACAAATGGTATCTCCCAGTTTTTCGCGAATACCTTTTGATAGATGCATTCTAGAGCGATGAAAACACCTTAGATGTGTTCAGCTCGACGATACGGATCGGCCGATATGCAACATGACCCTTTCCGGTCAGGTCATGACCTTGACCTGAGGTCAAATTTTCAAGTCGACCTTTCAAGGTCAAATTATATTTCATTCGATGCGTCTGACGAGAGGAACACGATGCCGGTAATAGAAAGCCCGTGAAAGGCTTGAGTCAAAAGTTATTGCAGAAAAACCGTTTCCAAAAAATAGTCTATTTTGGCAGTTTTTGCCCCCTGCAGGCAAAACCGTTGACGTTAGGTCAAATCTGGGAGAATTACTCAGTAAGAGCGTTAACAGGGCAATCAAATGCGCTTTTCCGCGGCGCTGAAGCTCTATTGGTTCCCAAGTTATGCATCGGCTTCTTTAAAAAAAATTGTCGATATTCGACCTTCAAAATCGGCGAAATTTGGCCTTCAATGACATCTGGTGACCTGACCTTTGACCTGACGAAAAAAGTGGCCGAAGTGATTTCGTCATCATTTTTGACGCTCTTTCGAACGCCGCTTTCCGCGTATCGCTAAATGGCCTAGGAGCCGATTTAGAAGGGGGTGTTCAAACAACCCCCCAGCAGGGCGTGTAATTCCAGGACCCCTAGCGTGGCGCGGGTTAAAGCTCATGATGTCAGAAGTTACACGGGTAATTACTCGGTCATCGTAACATACCCGAATCAGTTCTTGCTAATCAGCCAATTTCTTAAAACAAATATTGAATACAAAACATTTAAATATCCACAAATACGATCAGTC